GCTGCCATTCCCGTGCTCATGCTAGCGTCATATGTTGAGGGGGCTTTAATGCCCAGATATTCTTCTTACATGGTCACCTTTATCCACTCTGTCTGGCCCAGAAATATGTTCCTCTATGGACAGTGCACTGGGCTCCCATGTCCTCTGGTTTCCTGTTGGGTTAGGCCAATGGTAGGCCCTGGCAGTAGATTGGAGGGAGAAAGAAGAGTGAAGAACAGTATTTATTTTCCCTGCTTCCTCCCAGAGAGCAACAGATGGTGTTTCTCTGAGAAAGGCCTGACTCTTCTCAGGCAGCCCTCCCTTTCAGCTACAGTGTCCTCTGGGTTCCTGGCCCCCTGTATCTAATCTTGAAGTCTGGGGGTGGAAACTGCTCCCCACTATTGGGAGCCATAAGTCAGTGTGCTTTCTCCTGTTGCTTTCTCTTAATCTTATTTTCTCCAAACTCTCTTAAAATACCCATTTTGAACATGCCGTTTTCTTATTAGATTTTTGGAATACATATTCATTACCTTCTTCAGTCTTCACCTCAATGCCACAAAATAGGATTACAATATCTAAAAAATGTGGGAGGCCAAAGGTCAGACACATTGAATCTTCAAGCATACACAGAGCCCAGTAGGTGGGCATATGAAGACGGCAGGCACTGCCTTCTCCTTGGATCTCCATCCTCATGTCCCTGCAGCATTCTTCAGTCTGTGTCTCCTGCCCTCAGCTCCACACTTCTGCCTCTTTTCCCATGAAGGTCCGTGGCAAGCCAAGACAGCAATCTCCTGGGTCCTATGCTTCCCAGGAGGCAGGGTCTGGAGATGGGCATGCTTTGCAATTTGCACCTCATGTTGCCACCCACAAGTCTCCTTGTCATTGGGACTTTTCTTCTCCAAACCTCAAGAGTTGGAGAAGAGAAAGGGATCTGGTCCTCCAGGCTGTTGGCCTAGGGAACAACAGTGATTTTACTCACCAGCTTGAAGAGGGCCACTTTCCATTCTGAAAGGAAGCAGACATAGATAAGAAAAAGGTCAATATTTCTATTCTTCCCATCCCATTCTTCTCACTCAGTCTTTTCTCTCTCCTTTTCTTGAGTGGCAACTTGTACAAAATGGTGGGCTCCCTTCCCTCTGTCAGGAGGGGCTACCAGAAGCATGGCCAGGGTTTGCTAGGGTGTGTGCATGAGTGCCAGCAGCCTCAGGCTTCTCTCAGAGGCTCCTGAAAAGCAGAAGTGGAAGCCCCTACTGAAAATGAGCCTTTGAGTTAGATCTGATTATTCCAAGTGAGAATGTCAATGGGTGACAGTAGAGAAAAGGCTGGAACACTCAGGGCACGTGTCCCAGGAAACTCAGAGAACATGAGTGTCACTCACCATGATAGGCTGGAGAATTCCCACCAACTGCAATGAAAGAAAGGTAGAGATGTCACGTGAACTCTGCCCTTCTGCCTTCTTTTTACATCCATCTAATCTTCTTTTTAACCACTCCACTCTTCCCTACCTTCTCCCTCTGCATGTTCAATTCTCTCCTCCCTCTCTTCATTCATATCACATCCAGGAATATCACACTAGTGACACCACAGGCAGTGTGTTATTACCTTCCTGATGTGGTCCAGCTGATCTATTCAGTATGTATCTATATTCCCATACTTGGGTATTGCTGTCACCATGTCTGTAAGTGTGTATGTATGTATATACATCTGTATCTATCTGTATTCTTTCCTACCTTCTTCTGAAAATCATCTGGGAAACTTAATGAGAAATTTCAGGGACTAATTTTTGAAAGTAGTTACAATAAATCTATACCAACTGAGCCACTGTACCTACTTCTGTATATGAGGAACACTTTTCTCCCTCCTTCTTTTCTGATCTTCTCATTCCTTATAATCTCCCATTTTTCTTATTTCCTCAACAGCATATCAATTTTGTAAAGCAATTAGTCAGGTTCCTGGCATAGACAAGGCACCTCATCCACCTCTTCCCCCTTTCTTCTCAAGTGCACCCCTGGATATTCCTTAGTGTCTCTCAGGACTAAAAAGTTTGTAGGCCTCAGTGGAGGGAAATTGAAGGCCTCCTTTTTCTGAGAGAGAGAATGAGAAATACTCTCCTTCTGGGGGTTTCTCCATGACCCACACTTATTTTCTTTCCCTGTCACAGGGACCACAGCCATTCCCCAAGCCTGGGCAGAGTTAAGGGTTGGAAAATATCCAAGCAGAGAGAGTCATAAGTGATAATTGGAAAGAAAATGCCAGAGCCACTCACGAGCCATGTACTGGATTTTTCTCCACTCTGAAATGGAATAAACAAGGAAGAGTCATCAAGGTACGTAAAGCAGGGATAGGAAGACATGCTTAGGTGTCTGGAGAAATGGTAACTTACTGAGTTCTTCCGTGAGTTTCTCTGGAAAATAAACAGAAAACATAATGAAGTGTTATGGGAGAGAGGATTTTCTGGACAACAAACCTTAAAAACCACCCAGTGTGAAGGTGGGGATGTGGGTGAGGTCTCTGGGCTCAGGCCTGTAACCCAGGCACTTAGATTTCCTCGTGGGGCCAGATACCTCTTATGTTTTGTTCCTGCTCTGTTGCACTCCGTGCCAATTCTCTCATCTCTTGCTCTCTCTCTTTCTCCCTCAACAGAGTCTTTTTTTCCTCTTGTTGTCGCCACAAGAAGTAACCCGCCACAGCAAGAAGCAGCAGCAAGATGGGCAGGCTCCCTGCCAGGGCGGCGATCCAGGGTTGGGCGCTCCTGAAGAAGGGGTCTGCAAAGGGATGGTCTGTGGGCCAGGGGCCTGTGCCTCTGTCTTCCCCGCCCGCAGCCTGAGCTTTAGCTGCTCCCCCCAGGAAGGGGGGCACGGAAACTGCCTCATGAGGTTAAACAACCTTTCTCTTCCTAAAGTCTCCGACAACTTTGGATAAGACTTTGGTAAGCCCTTACTACAACCTACTACCATTACTTCTCTTGAGATGTCTGCCTCTCCCATGGAAAGTGAGTGACTTGAGCACAGTCATAACATTTTTTCTTGTTTAATTTTTCAATAGGCAATACATTTATATGGTTAAAAAATACATATATAAAAAGCCACCCGAGTTTCCCACCTACCCAGTGCTCCCTCCCTCCCTCCATTTATTAGCTTCTCATTAGTCAGCATAAAAATAATATGATGGTTAGAAACATGAACTTTGGTACCAGAGGGCCTGGATTCATATGCTTACTCCTCCTGCACTTGACCAACAGTGTGACCCTGGACTAATTCTTTAACGTCTCTGTTCCTAGTGCCCTAATATCTAAAACTGGGTAAATGACAGCACCTACCTCCTGAGGTTAGAAGAATTGAATTAATGCTTATAAAGTGCCCGACATATAGTGAGTGTTATACAATTGCTTGTTAAATATAAATACAAATGTATTCTTATTTTGCCTCTTATTTATACTAAAGATAGCATTCTATACACAGTTGTGAATTCTTGCTCTCTCTTTGAAGAGTGTGTTTTGGAGATCTTTCCATATTAGTATGGAGAGAATTATTTCTGTTTTCTTTCACAGCTGTGTGATCTTTCCTTGTATGGAATTTCGGTATCAGGTGAACATTTGTATAGTTTCTAACCTTGTGCAATCATAATAAGTGCTGTAAGAAATAGCTTTTTACATGGATCATCTCTCACAAATGTAAGCTTATCTGTCAGATAAATCCCCAGAAGTGGACTTCTGTATCAATAAATATGTGGTGTGAATAGATATTGCTCTATAGCCCCCAATAGAGATTCTGCTTATATATACCAAGAATACAAGAAATGACACAGCAAATGCCTGAGAGTTACTGCCTCCCTGCATCCTGCCATCAGATGTGTTATCAATTACCTGTTTTATTTTTTGCCAATGTCATAAAAATGCTTTAATATACATTTCTCTAATAAGTGAAAATGAGCACTGTTTTGCATGTTTATGTCCTTTTCTGTGAACTAATAATTCATACTCTTTGTTAATGTTTTTACTAGATCGTTTTAAATCTCCTTATATTTTATGGAAATTGGTTGTTTATGATATGAGTCATAATTATGTGTGTTTTTCTCATTTTGTCATTTAACTTTGGTTAAAGATCTTATCTTGACCATTTTCCTCCAATTCCAATTACCTGCCACGGTTTCTGGCAGACAGAAAATGTTCAGTAAATATTTGTGGCATGAACAGCTTCATGGGGGAGACAAGCTCCCCCAAAGCAAGGAGAAGGCTCCAGGTCCCTGCTTCAGGCCTTACATTCACTGCAGAGACTCACAGCGGAGACTCACACATTGCCCCACTTTCAATAGCCATAGCTCAGCTCAGCTCAGCACAGGGGAAGCAGGGTACCGACCTGCGACGGAAATCCTGGCTGTCTTTTCCTGCTGGAGGAGGGAATTTCTGATGGTACAGGATACCCCCTCCCCGGAGCTTCCTCTCATGATCACTGACGCTGCCATTGCATACAGGCCCACTTCGTCTGCAACCACAGGTGCTGCCACAGCTGGGATGACCTCCCCTTTGGCATCTCTCCACTGGACGTGGGGCTGGGGGTACCAGCCGGTGGATCTGCACTCCAGATGGATCCCTCCATCCTCATAACCCTTCATTTCCAAGTGAAGATCAGCACCCAGTGCTGTGGAAGGATAAATCAGTCTAAATTTGTAGGAGCCTCCAGCATCAGGGAGAGTCTCAACAAGAATCAACAACACACTCACATTAGACCATTCAAGGAGGATTTCACTCAGGAGCTGTTTGCAATAGTGTGGTCACAGTGAGGGGAAAAGCTACGTGGGCTAGTGCAGTGCCCCAGGGCCAGAAACAGTGGGGCTATTACCACTCACCCCTAACCCAAAAACAGGAAAAGAGGGAGCTATCTCTGATCAGAGAGAAATATGAACATTGCCCAAACTACAACAATAGCCAAGCACCCGACACTGGCAATAAGGGACTGCTGCTCTTTTACCAATTAGATCTTTAGTCTGGCCCTAGACTCCTTCCTACAAAAGATTGATTAAAGTTCCCACTCACAAGATTAACCCCCCTCCCATCTTCCTGATAGCATCTAGTAAAGAGCTGAAGCCCACTTCTGCAGACCCTCCCAAATCCCCTAACACAAGCCCAATTTCTATGCTAAGTCTTCTCTAACACCTTCTGACTGAGGCGCCCCACAGTTCTCCATGGTGTGTGCTCTTCCTTGCTGCAACTAGTAATAAACACAGCTCTTTCCACTGCAGCTCCTTGGATGTCTCCTTCCTGGGGGTCACTGG